CACCAGTATGTCTATTTTTTTGAATCACAACGGATGCAAGTATAATTGTCCATTATAAGTTCCACATCTTCAATATCCTTAGTTGTTCTGGTTTCACTTAATAAATTACTTTTGGATCATAACAAACAATACTTTCTTGAACTTCATCTTCATGTTTCAGTAGGCTTTGTGCATTGAGGTATATGATATCACTGTTCAACTGTATATCAGGGTTATTTACTGGTTTTTTCTTACATGACTAAAATTTTTGTTTCTCACAATTTTGGGCTTTTCATTCATATATTTGATGGTACTATTGTTATCCCCTGCTGCAATCATTTCATCCAATTTAGATTTCACTTTACGAAATACTCCCTTAGTTTTGGAGTTTGGTCGTTAGATATTTTCACACTGGGTATTTTTATTGATTGCTTATTCTTCAATATATGTCTGGCATCATCTTGTAATTTGAAAATAACCTTGATTTCTGGTAATTGTTGGTTTTCCTAATTTGAAATTTTTTATTTCTTCCCTATTGACGTTGAAGTCCTGCAGTATATTATTTATGGTTTCTATTTCTTGTGCTGATCTTTCAGTGTGGAGATTTCCCTGAGGTTCATTCACATTATAAATGATAATATTGGCCGCTCATGATTGTCTGTCTATAATTTCTGTTATTAGATCTTCACTTCCAAGCAAATTATGTTCAGAATGTGAGTTGGATACACTCATGTCATCAACTTTTTTTCGCAATTTTTCATTTTCCTCGTGTAGTATTCTATTTATCTCCATAATATCACTTAGCTGTTTTATGAGTTTAGACATTTGCCTAAACATTGAAATTACTCAACAATTCCAGAGATGCTCCTGCGCCGTTTTTTTTCATCAAAATTCAGCAATTTTGAAATGAATTTGGCTGCCACACACTTCATGCCCAAAATTTTCAGAAAAATTGCATGGTAGGTATGAGCAAACCAACATGCCAACATCCTCAGCAACTTCTCTAATAGTGATTCGAAGATTCTCCAGAACACTTCTCTTCACTTTCTCGACATTTTCATCGGTTGTTGATGTGCTGGGGCGCCCAGGGCGAGTATCGTCATTCACATAATTTTATCCACATTCTTTGATCCATTTTTTTTGATAGCAGAAAACCACCGAACACGCACAAAAGTATCACTAATCAAATCTATGTAGCCCACAAAATTTGAATATTCACCCTATTTTTTTCAACAGTCCACGTATGTGAATTTATCAGTCAATAAAAGTAATAACTATTGATATATACTTACTATCTTATGCAAAGACTCTTGGTTTGCAAAAGAAACGGTCAATCGATTCAGGACAGTAAAATTCTTCAGATCTAGGTGGGTAATAACGTCCTGAATTATTTTCAAATCGAATGGAATTGGTACTATGTCCTGAATTTCTCTAGGTTCACCTTTTTTCTTCTTTTGCTTCTTTTTGTTCTCAGTGTTTTCATCGTCTATTACTTGATTTACGGCAACAGTTCTATAACCAACTTGGGAAGAATAAACGTCATATTTTTTCGTACATTCGATTTCAGGCAGGTAAATGCAACCTAACTTACCATCATATAACTCTTTTACAGCCTGCTGCAAGTCTTCTTTAGAGAAGAATGATTCTTGGAGACATAAGTCATAAAACCCATTAGTTTGGATCATTTCAATTCATAAGTTATACTACAAATGACATCAAATTAGTTCAATAATATTCAAAATATGAAAGGGACATCTTTGGTAAACTCATTTTGTATAAATACATAAACATAACCACAAAAAGTTTAGTACTACCAACTAACTAACCTCAAAATATTGACTACTTCTTCTTCTAGGTTGCGTTCGATGACATTACTCTGATTCCTTCATAAACCTGCTATAGTATGAATATTACTGGAGTTTTTTCCCAAAACTCCAGTAATATTTATTACCACATCAAAGGTTCCAAACAGTGCATCATAACTGCTATAGTATTATGAATTTTGTACTTCGAAACGTTCAGAAACATGTTCGAAAAGAATTCTGCTTATTGTGTTTAGTGAAGTGATAATATTCTTGACACATGATATATTACAAAATGAATTTAACAAGATCATTTGGTGCTCACTTCATCATATTTCAGCACAATTTACAATATACCATAATATATGTAAGTGTTATGCCTTTAAGTATATTTAAACATGTAAACAAACAATTAAAAGTTCGCTCTACAGATTATGTATTGAAAGGGTTTGAAGGCTCAGAAGCCAAAACTATTGGTATAAGTAATTTGCATTGTAAATATAAAGGAAAAGATACATATGAAGATTTTGTAATCGTTGATGGAGCAAACCTGGTTCTCTTAAGTGGTCAGGCATGTATCAATCTAAATCTGATTAAAAGAATAAATAATATAAATGTACATAACATAGAGAGTTCAGTTGATAAAGAAAAAATTTTACAGGCCAACTCAGAAATATTTAATGGGTTTGGTAGGTTTCCAGGAAAACATAACATTACAGTAAAAGAAAATTTTGAACCGGTTAGCAGACCACCTACAAAGGTACCTATTGCTATTCGTGGTGAGCTTAAAAAAGAATTGGATAGGTTAGTAGCTCGAAGAGCCATTGTAAAAGTGGGTGAAATGTCTCCTATGGCCAGTATAAATAGAATTGTCTTAGTTGAGAAGGCTAATGGTAAAATACGTCTTTGCTTAGACCCTTCTGATTTAAATTCTCAAATTATCAGGAAGCCAAAAGTTGGTATGAATATTGAAGAGATTTGTTCTAACTTATTAGGGAAAAAACTTTTCACTGTATTTGACTTAGCTGAAGGATATCACCATTTAGAGTTGAATGAAGAGTCTTCATGGAAATGCTGTTTTGCAACACCATTTGGCATTTATCGTTTTATTGTTTTACCTTATGGGTTATCTAATTCTCAAGATCTCTTTCAAGAGGAGGTTGAAAAACACTTTTCAGGTATAAAAAATGTATTGATTTGTCACGATGACATGATCTGCTCAGGCGTGAACAAGGAGGAACATGATATAGCGGTGGGTGAAGTCATGAAGAGGGCAAAAGAAGTGAATGCAAAGTTCAACAAAGAAAAATTGCAATTTTGCAAGGATAGAGTAAAATTTATGGGTCAAGTATTTTCTCAAAAAGGTATGCAAATAGATGAAGAGAGGGTTGAAAGCCTCAAAAAATTAAGTCCCCCCACCAATAAAGTTGAACTCCAGAGGATTATAGGTTCATTAAATTATGTAAGACGTTATGTCAAAAATATGTCTGAACTCATGCATCCATTACAGGAACTTTTGAAAAGCAATGTAGAATTTTCATGGTTGCCCAAACATCAAGAGATATTTGATATGCTGAAAACCGTTGTAAGTAAATCCCCAGCATTAGTTCCCTTTGACTGTAACAAAAAAACTGTGTTACAGTGTGATGTGTCTAAAAATGCTTTGGGATGTTGCATGTTTCAACAATATGATAATAATATACTAAAGTTGGTTGCTTGTGCATCTCGCACCATGAATGATCATGAAATTAATTACAGCCAAACTGAGAAGGAAATGTTGGCAATATACTTTGGGTGCCAAAAATACCATGATTTCATTTATAAATACAATGTGGATGTTCAATCTGACCATAAACCTATAGTTTCTATTATGAAAAAACCCATCCATAGTATAGGATCAGTTCGATTACAGAGGTTAAGATTAAAACTTCTGAAATATTCAATTAATGTTTACTATGTCCCAGGCAAGAATGTTCAGTTCGCAGACATGCTGTCTCGATCGAGTATTAAGGGTGACAACAAACCAGATCCTGATATGCTGGAAATGGTGCATTCTGTGACTAAACACTTACCTATGAGTGAGTTAAAAAAAGATCAGTTTAGAATTGAAACATCAAGGGACCAAACATTATCAAAAATTTATGATTATTATTATAACGGGTGGCCAAAACCTAATTCAATACCCCCAAATTGTAAACCATTCTTCCCATTGAAAGAGTCAATCTATGTTGAGGCAGGAATTATCCTCATAGAAGATAAAATAATTGTTCCCCACTCTCTTAGATTAGAAATGATGAAATTACTACATAAAGGTCATATAGGAATCAGCAAAACCATAAATAGAGCTAGAAAATTATTTTATTGGCCAAACTTGTCTACAGATCATTGAAATTTTTTTATTTTTTTTCAAGGTCTTAGACAAGAAGAATATTTCTATTGTGAATAAAATAGGTGAGGTTGGTTTAAAGAGATCACGGAATGGCCTAATGCGCCTGAATGGAAGAAAAGCCAACAACATAGAGAGAAATCACGGAGGGGGCGACATCTAGGTATTGTAATTCGAACGTCAAGCATAAGGAAAACTGGTTATAGTCATGAGAAACCCGGGTCATTAAATTGTGTTGTCATTTCTATCTAAAGTGATATTTTTTCGAAAGATAACCGTTCATAATGATTATTAAATACAAAAGTATCATTATTTTGAGGATTTAAATAAAAATAATTCACTTGATTCGTTGAGGGCACCAGAGATATTCTTACTTTGGAAGGAGTTCATTTTACCAAAAAAACTTTGAATGTTATTCCTTGATCAGAATAATATCATATGATTCAACTCTAAAAACTACTTCGCTTTCCACTTTCGTCTGCCATTATCTTTCCAATAACGGATTCATTTCGTCAACCATACTTTCACTGAAAGAAATTTGAGAGGAAGTTTTGATAAATCAACATATTTATTATTTTACAGAAATGTCATTATAAAATGCCAATTTGACAATTTCTGTTTTTATTTGACAGGTATGCAACGCCATCTTGCGACAATGGTTTCCTCGAATATTAAAAAGAGAAGTTAAGTTTTTTCAAACTACGTGAGCCAAGTTCCAACTGTTGCGTGACGCTGCTTGACGTTTGGCTTTGCCTTTTCACATGAACTAGGTTACAAGTTAACCCCAAATTCTAACTTTTCTGTTTACCTTTTACCAATGTTGAGAATTGTAGTTGAAAATACTTTGTGTCTTTAAATAATGTTCACAAAATATTTTCGTCAAACACTTAAGCTCAATTCAATAAGAGCTTGTGTGTGTAATAATAATGTTAAAAATTACTCTAATCATTCTAATGATTTGAATTCCAAAGAGTCTTCAGCTACTAGCAACAAACTAGGAAATATAGGATCAAAATATCAGATATTTCACGATCAAGACGCAGAAGTGATTCTTGATGTTTATGAAGAAAGATTGAAATATTCAAATTTAATCGAAGATGATGAAGTGGAAGAAAGCACACCTTTCGCAGGGATAAATTTGAACCGTAGGCTACTATAGTAGTTAATGTACACACCCTCTTGATATTCAATTTTTTCTCTAGGTGGAAAATCAGGCGTTTTTGAAATAGAAGACTTGGTAGATGTTCTTAAACGTGAAAATGCCATAAATATATTTGTAGCTAAAGTTCCACAAGAAATCAAATATGTAGACTATATCTGTATCGTGAGTGGCAAATCAAAGAGACATATGCAAGCTGTAGCACAGTTTGTCCGTAGAGTTTTTAAGCAAAAAAGAAACCAAGGGGACAAAGTTCCAAAATTAGAAGGTGAACTTTCCAACGACTGGATGGCTTTAGATTTAGGTAAATTATTGATAACAAGTTTTCATTGAAATAAGAAAATCAACTATGTGTTTACTTTAAATTAAAAGACTTCTCATCTATTTACTACAAGTGAGTAGATAAGTTCATACAGTGATGTCAAATGCACATTCAGTGGTGGATCAACTTACTTATCCATTCGAAACTAATGTATTCTAAACAGCTCTGAATATACTTGATTTCATACTATTTTTTGGGTTTATAACTTTCCACTATATGAAAAATGAACAAATTGGAATGAAGAAAGAAGTGGGATAATGAGCAAATTTAAAAGTTCACTTCAAAAAGTTACTGCGTAATATAAATCACTGAAGGGTTCAGTTAGTAATGAAATAACTA